ACTCCTGAATACGTGCATAGGGTAGGACGTGTCCTGTGCCAAGAGTTGTCCCATCAAGGGACCATCCAGGAGTGTGCCGGAGTTACTCAGCTGTTGGAAGGTTTCGGCGAAGGGGAGTTCTGCACATGTGGAGAGGCTCGTGATTCCAAGCTTGTTGCTGAGTGTGCGTGCTGTCTTAAAGGCAGGGACGCTGTGCCAAGGGAACAGGGTTTCGTTTCGGAACTTTCTGAAGAAGTAGGAGGGATGGAAGTTGCGGAGTGTTTTGGGAATGCTGTAGCTAGGAGTGATGAAGCCGATGTGGTGAATGAGGTGCTGAGGAGTGACCTCGAAGCACAAGCCCGGAAGCTTCGAGAGACCCACAACTATCAACACCAAGCGTGCGAACAACTCCTTGAACAGCTGCCCTACAAACCAAGCCCAAACCACCGAAGTCCCATCCAGGAACGACGAGCCCGGTATCTTGCTTTTGGCCTGTACTCCCACGGTAACCAGTATGGCGTCACTAAGCATACTCAAGCCTTTCCGGAAGTGACCAAGTTTGTCCTCGCGTATTTGCAACACTGGAGCCCTGAACCCCTTCAATGTACTTCCTTTGTCGTTAATGATAACTGCCACCTGAAGATCCACCGAGATGTGCACAACCTCCCAGGAACATGGAACTACATCATAGGTGTAGGAAGCTTTCAAGGGGGAGAGTTGTGGGTGGAGGGTTCAGATGAGGAATTGAAGGCTTCAGGCCAGCAAGGATTTCGAAGGTTGCACAAGGGACAATGGTTGAAAGGCCAGAGGTTTGAGGTAAAAGAGCAAGTGGTGAAGTTTTCGGGACATAAGTGGCATGGAACACAGGAGTGGAAGGGCGACAGGGTGACTGTGAGCGCGTATAGTAGCAGGGGATGGGCTAAGGTAGGACCTGAAATCCAAGAACACCTTCGTCAGCTAGGTTTTCCTGTGCCTCCCGCGAGTCCCGAAGGCCAAGCGTATGTTCTAAAGGCTCGAGGCCCCTGGAGTGGACCCCTCAAGAGACAAGACCCAAAGGATGAAGAAGCTATCAAGCGTAAGCTGTATCTGCTACATGCGACGACCGGACATGGAAGTATTAGGAACATGATCGAAGCTCTGAAGCGCCGCAATGCGGACCCCAAAATCCTGGAGATAGCTAAACAGTTTCGATGCTCGGTGTGTGAAGAGAAACGAAAAATCCAACCACGCCAGGTGGCATCGCTGGAACCTCTGCCCCCTAAGTTTCATACCCTTACTGCTGACGTGGGACACTGGACGCATCCTACGACCGGAGAACAGCAGAACTTCATGGTGATAGTGGATGAGGGCTCTAGGTACCGTGCTGCTAGGATCCTCACAAAAGGGAAAGCCCAAAGCCCCAATGCGGCTCTGTGTCTTAACTTCCTGACGGAAGGCTGGATACAACACTTCGGACAGCCGAAGACCCTGAGGCTCGATCCCGCGGGAAGTTTTAGGGCAAGTTCGATAGAGGGATTCTGTGATAGACATGGTATCTACCTGGATATTATTCCCGGGGAGGCGCATTGGCAGATTGGAGTAGCTGAGCAGGCTATTCAAGGCCTGAAACAGCTCATGTCCAAGATGGTACAAACAGAGAAGGATGTGAGCGCGGAAGAGCTGCTCAGTACCGCCGTATCAGTGTTCAACCAGCGAGAAATGGTTCGGGGTTTTTCTCCGACCCAACACGTGCTGGGGGTGAGCCCTGATGCGACAGGACAGTGTGTGAAACTGCCCGGATCAGAGGATGCCGGGACGATCCTCAACAGCCCGGTGGAGGATTTTCGACGAGAGGCAGAACTGCGGGCAGCCGCAGAGACAGCCCTGGCAGAGTGGAATGCTCAACAGCGGATCCAACGAGCTCTCAACTCTCGGTCGCGACCTGATTGCGTGTACCAACCCGGAGATCTGGTGTATTTCTGGAGGACACAAGAATCTAACAAGAGCAAGAAGCAACCTGGAACCAATCAAGGACGCTTCCTAGGTCCCGCGCGAGTGCTGGCCATGGAAACAAGGCAGGATGCAGAGGGCCAACGACGACCTGCCCACGCTATCTGGTGTGTGCGTGGCCGGAGCCTGATTAAATGCAGCCCAGAACAGCTAAGACCCGCCAGCCAGCGGGAGGAGTTGGTGGAGGCCCTCACGGACCAAACTTCAACGCCCTGGACATTCACCCGTCTGGTCGAGGAAGTCGGCGGAAATCAATACCAAGACGTGTCTGCTGAGGTTCCCAGTGCAGAGGAGTGGGCCAGAGCCCAAGACCCAAGGCAGGAGATCCAGCCCGCGCGCCACCGCATCACCACAAAAAGGCCAGCGACTGATGTGAGTCAGGGTGACCCAGAGATGGACGAGGACCAGGAGGCGGGTACGAGCCAGCCAAGTTCTCTTCGACGTCTAGAACCGGCAGAACCTCAACAAGGCATGCACACACAAGCCAGTAAATGGTGGGAAGAAGTGAAGCAGACAGCCTGGTTAGCCGAACACACTAGTTTCTGGACGGATGAGAAAGCAGCAGTGGAGGTGGCTATAGACGTCCCGCAGAGCCGTCGGGGACTCGAGACCATGACACGAGATCTCCAGAACTACTTCGTGGGAGCCTTGAAGAGGAAGGCTGTGGAAGTGAGTGAGCGCCGGCTTTCGCCTGCCGACCGGGAACGCTTCCAAGAAGCAAAGAGCGTGGAAGTCCGCAACTTTATTGCGGCGCAGGCGTTTGAAGCACTCCCCGACGAGCTCAAGCCAAGCCGTGAACAAGCCGTGGGTATGAGGTGGACACTCACTTGGAAGGTCCGAGACGACGGGGGGGTCAAGCCAAAAGCACGTGCAGTGCTTTTAGGCTACCAGGACCCCAGCTACGAGCACCGATCAACTACATCTCCAGTAATGACCAGGCAGACCCGACAGCTGATGTTACAATTATCTGCCAACAAAAGATGGCGACTGATGAAAGGAGATGTGAGCGGGGCGTTCCTGCAAGGGAGAGCTTACCCCTCAGAGCTCTACTGCATTCCCTGTGACGAGATCTGCCAGGCAATGGGACTGGCGCCTGGGTCGATTACCCGCCTGAAGCGGGCATGCTATGGTCTCGTGGATGCCCCGCTGGAATGGTACAAGACGGTAGCTGAGTTTCTGTCAAGCCTAGGATTCGAAAGACTCTGGTCGGACTCGTGTGCTTGGATGTGGCGTAAAGACGGAGTCACCCGGGGCATGATTTCGGGACATGTGGATGATTTTCTGTTTGGGGGAAGAGACGATGATGAGGAGTGGCAAGAGATTCTTAAGAAGATTCAGGAGCGTTTCAAATGGGGAGATTGGGACAAGGATCAGTTTACGCAGTGTGGCGTGCAAATTGAAACCACTTCCCAGGGGTTTACCTTATCTCAGCCCAAATATGCCGAGGGAGTTGAAGCCATCAACTTAAGTTCCTCTAGGAGGTCCATGCGAAAGGCCCCGACTACTGACCTGGAAAGGTTCCCGGTTGTGTGATCACCGACTCACGCAACGTCTACGACAAACTGGCGACAGCAATGTTCAGCATCAACGGAGCCGAGAAGAAGGCCAACATCGAGCTGATGGGACTAAAAGCCGCACAAGAATGCACAGGAGTTCTCCTGCGATGGGTTCATTCGGAAGCACAGCTCGCCAATGCTTTGACAAAGGCCCAGGAGCACAAGGAGCTGGAGCTGTACTACAGGACGCAACATCAATGGCGAATTGTGGAGGATGCGGAGATGAAGTCCGCGCGGAAGCGAAAGAACGAAGGTCTAGAACCCCTGCAGCAGACGTCTAGCGAGGGAAGCAGTGAAAGTTGAAAGAAGCATTTCCTGATCTCTGAATTAGGGGGG